AATCCCCTACCATTGGGAAGGCTCTGAAAGCTTATGCAAATGTCATTAAAGCAATGCCATTACCTGACATTCCAGCAAATGTGTTGCCCAGATCTGCTGTCTCGTCTTCCTGAATGAGCAGAGAAATCACCAGCTGCCAGGCCCAGCAATCTAAAAGTAAACAAATAAAATAAATTTGCAAACAAATTGAACAAAAATAATGAAATCTGTTTTTTTTTTTTTTTTTTTTTTTTTTTTTTTTTAAGACATTCCCCCTTCTCCCCCTCAAAATCTTTGTAGCATTGGAGCCTATAAGAAACTATGCTATTTCTCATTGAAGAAAGAGTGTCTGTATGTGTATATATAAACTAAATAATATCTGGGTGTTGCATCTCTGATCCATTGGGTCTTCCTTACTTTGTGTACACAATGCTGTCTTCAATATATACCATGGTTTATATATATGGAAGATATACTGTATAGACATTTCAAACAGGACAAAATTTTAAGAATCTCTTCCAGTTAGTTTTAACTTCTGATTCTTCTACTCCCAAGGGCTTAAAATAAAAACAGCAAAGAGCTGTGTTTTATTTATTTATTTATTTATTAATGTAGAATAAGTAATGCATGGGCAATCTTAGAAATCCTGAAAAAGCTGTGTCAGGTACTTAACTTAGATTGTCAGAACCAAGATACTTTCTTGCCTCTGTTTTTAACATTAGAGAATTCTCAGGCGAAAACAAGAACTCTTTTTATTGAAAGTATTAGTACTTGAGACTAATAGTTCCATTTGTTTGTTCATTTGCTTGCTGTGATGGAGATCTACGCTCTAGACCTGTTCCTTGGGATTCCGAGCTCTAGTCCTTGGGATTCTGATTCTCTAGTCTTTCATGAAGAAATTTTAAAGGAAAATCTAGGAAAAGTCACAGGAGGTAAAAATATGTTTTTAAACAAGAAGTAGACATTCAAAGTTGAAGCTTTAAATTAAGGTGTGGAATAGGAGCCAACTTGAATTCTTCAAGATAGCGAAAAACCTCCTGTGATCCAACCTAATAAATGCCCTTCTCTGTTTTATTCTTTGAACTCACACTGCTCAAACTGAATCTATTTCAAATTAGCATTGCCTGTCTGGGTAAGAGATCCATATCTACTTCATTGCTTGGGCAGTTAGACCAGTGGGTTGTAATCACAGGCCTGGTTTCTCTGTGTGGGAAAGTTACTGTTGAGTGACCTGAGGTTTGAATTTACAGTACTACTAGCCTATTCTACTTCCGTTTTTAATACGGTTGTGAACAAACTCCTTTGAAAGTGAACCTACAGTGCTCAAAGTATTTTACCTAGCAAATTGCTAAACTGTAAATTCTAGCTTATTTATGAACTTTTTATAGACAAACCATTATTTTTATTTCTGTTGAAACTTATTCATTGCAATTTATGCATTTTTATATTTTTTTTCCTATGAAGTTATCCTAGTTACAATTGCTACTGTTAATAAAGTACATGAAAAAAACAGCTAATTAAAAATTTACTATGGAAGTACTATAGAGTGAAGATGAAATGCAGTAGTAAGGCCTGCGGTATGACTCAGGCTATTATTTTACCTTGGCTCTGTTCTAAATGCGATGACATGATGCCTTAAGCACAAATGATGTTTCTTCCTTTTATGAGGTACACCTAGTTGTTTGACCTTTCTGTGTTCTGCATATGCTGCAACATTCTAGGTGTGTGTCTTTCACATTGGCACTGTGTATACTGGGAAAAATATCCTATCAAATGGAGTGAAAACAGGGGCTTACACAGTCACTGTAAGCCTCGTATAAATCTAAAATACAATAGACCAAGCAGCTCCAGCAGAATGCAAGGTAAGTCCTATGAACCAGCTTGGATGGGAGCTCCCTTGAAGTAGTTCTTGGTTTCTCTGTATGAAGACTGGTGGTTTTGTTGTTTTAGAAACCACCTATAATTATTTAATGCTACTAATTTCCTCCAGGTTTTAGAAAGACAAAGTTGCCCTATACAACTTAAAACACACCGGCTTCTTGTCTAAGGCTTCATTTGAAGCATTTCTTCGTTGTAATTCACCTGTAAATAGGGTGTTTCAATACATGCTCACACTCAACAGAGTAGTTGCCAGTGCTTTCAGGTTCTTTAATGAAAGGCACCCTCACTGCAAATTGATATATGAATTTTAAGAAACTTCAGGGTGTGTGCTGTAACAAAGTTCATGTTACTTTGACAGCCTATTGCCCTTTTAATATGAAAGTTTTTAAAGGTCAGATGTACTTTATGCAGATTCTTAACAAATATGTTTTTTTTTCTTTTTTTTTCCTTTTTTTTTTTTTTTTTTTTTTTTTTCTTCCATTCTCTTCTCTATCCACATTTCTCGTTAAGCATGAATGTTTCTGAAATCTTGGGAACAGGTAGTGATGCCAGTTAATAGCTTCCTCAAATATCCATACTTGTCAGGTAACTTTTTATCCCATCACTTATTGTTATTTCTACATTAGGGCTGCCTACTGACATGTGCCTAAGTTGAGTAGCTAAAATGTTTTTTAACCACTGTAGTTGCCCCAGCATCCCACTAGATGACACTTTCACCAAAACACTTCACATACATGCTGATTCTTCCCTTAGTTCCCTGTTCAGCTGTCATTTTGTGTTCCCTTTCTTGAAAGGATTCCTTGGATGCTTGATTACTCTGACTTTTCTATTGTTCCCGAATATGTTAGTGACTCTGTGGAGCAGCATCAGTGAAGTTCATAGGTGTTCTTTCTGTGATTGTTATGTCCTCATCTTCAATTCTTGCCCTTTCCTAGTGGCATAATAGGCAATTGAAAGCTAAGAAGATTTCTGATACTTAGCAGGCACTCCACTTGACTTTGTCAATGCTCAGCATATGTCACTCTACAGTAGTGCAAGTAATATATAATTTTCAAATACAATAAAAGACAAATGCAATCCATACTATTTTAATAACAATTACTCCATAAATTAAAAAAATCCTTTCAAAACTCTTACTGCATAAATGCTTGTACAGTAGGGTCAAAATATTAAATAAACTTAATAGTCTAAATAGCTTGAATTCCTCATAAATGTGTCATTTTGCAGAATTTTCAGGCCTGCTTCATGCATATCATCTTCTTTGTACATTTCAGGGGCCTGTTGGATATTTAAGTAAGACACTAGTGATGCGGGGAGGACATCTTGCACAAACGATGAGTGAAATATTAAAGGGGAAAAGTGTCCCCCGCTGGGACTGAGGGACTATTGATGTTTGTTTGGTGCTCCTCACTGTTAGGCAGGTAGAGGAGATATTTCTGTCCAGACGGAGACTCAGCTCCCTTGGAGGTCAGCAGTCAGGACACATCAGCTGTTTAGACAGACCATGAGCTGAGTGGCAAATCCTTTCCATAATACATATCAGTATTTCCTGTTTGTGCACAGCCCTGGGTTTTTCTTTAGGGCAGTGGCCCTGTTGCCTGAACAATCTGGGACCAACTTGTTTGATGTTGGCGAGGGCTTGGAAGGCAAGAGGGGTAAGAATAGACTGAGAGCAGATAGAAGGCTAGTATGCTATGATTTTCTCCCTTGTTAAAGATTCTTCTTACTCTAGGCATTTGGGACTCGGGCTTGAATGAGAGGACCAACCAGTCTGATAGCTGTGAGCTGGCAGTAGCAATTGGATGGCTTTGCACGTACTGATAGGCAGGAACCTGGGCATCTTAGAGACTTTGCTTTGGGGATGGGTATCTGTAAAGTGATCCTGCAGAGACAGATAGGCACCAAAGCAGCTTCAAGGATCTAAGCAAGCATACTTACTAAAGTCAGTGACTCATGTCTATACAGAAAGTGTTCAGCTTCTGATTCAGTCCTTTATTATTTTAAACTCTTAATTAAGTCTCTTTGAACCCACAGGTGCAGCAACTTACTGATGCATATTTGTTTTCTTTTATTTGTCACAGGATTTCATTTACCAAAATATTTTAGGCTGGTGGTTGAACTAGAGGTATTTGAGGGGATTTAAATATATTTTTAGAAACTGACCAGCTTTGGTCATTTTCTGTTTATAGGTCTGGGACTATCACCTAAAAAGCTCCATCAAGATCAGTTTTTCTCTCTGGACTTTAGTATGAGCGTACATTTGTAAGTAGGTCTCTGATGGATGGCTAGACCACTTCCATTCCTATTTTACAGGTTGATTTTAAATTGATTATGTGTTTACACATGTATTATTTTCTATTTTAACTAAATGATTTATTATGCAATAGTATATATATATTTAATTTCTATTAAATTGAAGTTCTGAATATTCAAATGAAAAATATTAAGAAAATGAAATTTGGTATAACTGTACCGGTTTTCAGATATATACCTTTTCATGAGAAATGAATGAAATACTTACCACTTGCAAATATTTTCATAGCATTCAATTTACTAGCCAAATATTTGCAAGTTTTGAATATGAACACATTAAATTTATGTTCACTTTCTAATGAATCTGTCGTACAACTATTTCAGTCAGTGTTCCAAAACCACCGCTGGTGTACTGATTTGTTTTATTTGCTATAGTTTATGTGAAGTTATTTTGCCACATATGCACTTAAGTTAAGCTTACTAAGTCATTTCAGTTTTAGTTAAGCTGCTTCATTTTACGATTTCTTAAATAACTGACTAGAATCCAGAGAGTTATCCAAATCACTAAACTTCAGTCATTGTGTTCTTTGTGTATCAATGATTTTATTTATTTATTTTTAAAATGCAAATTAATTGAAGGGATTGCAAATGATATTTTGTGGATTGAATCTTCAGGGCAAGAGACATAAGATAGTTGACAACTGTTGAAAATGTTCATCCTTGTTTTGGTAGAGGAAATTTGAATCCATCTTTCGTAATTGCAAGCTGATGTCCTCATCCATGAGTGAGCAGAGAGAACACTTGTACTTTTTGGGTATTATTGTATTAAGTATGCCTGGGATCTAAATATAACAATGCATCTTGTATCAAAATATTTAATTGTTTTCTGGTCATAGAAATTATTGGAAAAACCTCAAATACCTGTCAGAATTTGTGGAGAAGGAAGCAAACAAGCTGAGATATTGGTTGTGTGCTCTCACATAAATATGCACAAGGTATAAATAAATTCTCTAACTTTTAGACTAAGCTTTAATATACATTTCAAAAACATTTAATGCAGCGCCTCTATTTATTTTACAGTTTAGCTGGGAAAGTTTGCAACTGTTTCTTATGCTCTGATCTCCACTTGGAGGTAGTGCTATGCAGACTTTCTGAAAACTGGAATTTCTGCCTATAATAAATATGCCCACTATTGGTTGAATGAAAAGAATCTAAATTCAGCTTATGTCTTGCATTCTTTTATTCTTGCAGGTGACTGAAGGTGTCTAGCCACTAGGTGCTGAGACTTGTGGGAACTTTAAGTGGCTAAAAATCATGGCTTATGCTGAAATGTGTTCAGATCCATCCTGGTCTTAAAATATTTTTCAGACATACCGAGTTGTGGTATGTTGAGTGTACCATGCTATAGGTGAGGTACCAAGATCTCTCCTTCCCTTCAACCACAGGACTCTCCCTAATAATGCTGGAAGTGAAAATGAATCATTTATGAGCATCAGTAGACACATGGGTGGGGCCTCTTTGTAAACTGGTATTTTGTTGATGCAATATGTGTGACAGCCTTTTAGTTCTGAATATAAATGTTACTGAGAGGAAATTAGGTTGGTTCGCAGAGATCAGCCAGACCTTGCAGTGCATCTTGCTGAGGAGCAGGTACCACCAACCAGCACTGTGCTTCGGATACTAGTACATGCAGAAGGAAAATGGAAGGTGAGTGTTTTGAAACTTTACTATCACTAGACACAGGACTGAGAATAGAAATAATTAAACAGTCAGGTGTAAGTACATAAGAAAGTGTAAATATTGCTGTGTGGAATCAAGACAAGGGATTACTTCTAAGGCTTAGATTTTATTATGTGTGAATTTAGAAAGAAGAGAGACATTTTTGGAAAAAAAAAAAAAGAAAAAGAAAAGAAAGGGAAAAAGAGTTATGGAGAAGAAGCGGTGAAAGAACAGCCATTTATGAGAATAAGAGAGAGCATGGAAAAGAATGTATTTTATTTCCAGCATAAAATAAACTGTAATAGTTTTCAGTATTCTTATGTTAGAATCAATTATTTCACAGTAGTTACCTGAAGTATTCTCTCTGGAATGAAGGCAAAATGTGAATTGCTAGAGAAAACCCGTTGACTGGTATTAGAGGTAGGGTTTCTATCAGAGAAAGAAAACCCATAAGAGATGTGAAATTGATTAGCCTTTAGTATTTTCTCTGAGCTTCCTTTGCTTAAGAAGGCAGTTGTTAGCTCCTTTGTGATCCAACCGTGATAGTTAACTCCGACAAGCAAACTATGGGCTGACTTTAAACAACTTCCCTGGGAAACATGTAATATCTCAACTCCCTGATGTTCCAGTTTAACTGGATTCATGAGTCAATGAAATGTAGTTGTCCTGGTTTATAAACTCCTCCAAAGGACGGGTGAGGATCTATCAGGTTCTTTCAGTCAGTGACCACAGGAATTTGTCATGTGTGCTGTAAGCACCTCTAATCCTTCTGTTCAACCAGAACACCTTGCACTGTGGTTGACAGCTCTCATTGAGATACAAGATTTTCTGTGATTCTGTTAATCTTTCTTATTCAGCAGGTATGATGCACTCATGAGCAATAATGATGCAATGCATTGCTCTGTTTTATTTTTATTTTTATTTTTATTTTTTTAATTATTATTTTTGATAGTATGCATGTTTTTAGGATGGGTAATGCCTGTGTTTCTTTACTGATCCTTGCTGAAGAGCTGAATGACCAGTTCTTTATCAAATTTCAATGAGTGGATAAAATATGAAATTATTCCTTTTTTTTTTTTTTTTTTTCCTTCCCCAGACCTTCCCTCCACAATTCATTTCATTAATGGTTTATTTAAGAATGTGATCATGGGAAACTCAATTGGCTTGTGTTAAGTGTCCATGTCCCATGGGCTTAGCTATAAGTTGTTTTTTAAGTGAATACACCCCTGGTTCTGGTGGGAAAAACTAGTTTCCCCTACATACCAACTGTCTATTCAATTTAGCACCAATTTAGCTAGAGAAATTGCATTGTTTGGTTGTACTGCAAGTTTAGCAGGACCAAACTTAATCTTTCAGAATTAAAAAATATCCAAGTCTTTGTAGTTCTGTGAGCCCAGTTTCCAAAACTGCTGAGAATTCATGGCTCCCATCACCTTCAATTAGAGTGAAGCACTTTTGAAAATAACATGTTGTATGCAAATAAGTAAAAATGAATGTTGCCACCCATCCTTCTGGCACCAGGATCATAATTAGCCCTGGGAAATGGCTGATATCCAGGCAGGGTGCCGGGGGTGGGGTGGAGGCGGATCATCCAAGATTTTAGTCAAGCTAATCACAGCATTTGGGATAGACTGTCAGCATTTTTTTTTTTTAATCATAATTTGTGAATATCTCCTTTTCCATCAGGTTCCTCAAAGATCTCTCAATTTGTGTAATAAAATGGATGCCTCCAAACCTTTTATAATTTTGGGAAATGTAGATAGAAACAACTACGTATGTGTGCATATTCAACATTATTTGCGATTTGGGGGTGAATATTCAATTCTTATTGAATATATGCATATTCACACTTTTTTCATAGCTTATTTGGATTACCATTTAAGCCTTAAAACACATGCATTTGTTATCAAATATTTTATTTATCCATTTTTCTTTATTGTTTTATTCCAACTCTCATAGCATGTGAAAAAAGTTTGCCGTTTAGATGTGGTTGAAAAGCAACTATGTCAAAAGCCAGGGTGTTGTCTTTTGGTGAGACTACTACAATACAGAACCAATCTTTCAGGTAGAGATACTAATAAGTGTCCTTTGACATCAGTTATTTATAAAGCACAAAGGTGCTATATAAGCAAAGTGAAACTTGTAGCACAGCTTTATAAATCAAAGCATTATACAAGTTTCTACCTGCAAGCTAAGGAAGTGGTGAACTTCTAAGGATACTTTTATGGATGCATGTCTCCAAATAGTTTCTCAGTGTTGCCAAAATTTGAACAAACCCTTGACTGTTTGTTTTTTTGTTTGTTTGTTTTGTTTTTCAAAACGGTTATCTGTTTCATCTATCTCCTGTTTCATGTAATCTTGACTTCATCCAGTGATGTGGCCTCAATTATTTGGTTTTCCATCTGTATTTCTTTCTCCATCCTGCAGTCATTGAGCTTGGAGATGTTGACCTGAACTGTCCTTCCAATTGCCAAATTCATAACACCCATTTCTTCGGAACTGACAGACAGATAATAAGGAGAGGGCAAGCCTTCAACTTTTATGCTCGCTTCCATAATCGGGAATGGGATGACTCCATGGATCAGGCCATTTTCACCGTGGAGACAGGTAGTCACACCCAAAATATGTGTAGTCTTTCTCGGTCCTTTTCTGGTAAGTAATATTTCCCATAGTCTTCAGTGATAAATACTATCTACACATTCATATTCTGTGTGAACAGACTACCCTCCCCTAGCTAAGACAGTGCTTCTACCATTTAAAGTTTTCTCACCCTGCTATGAAAATTACAAGTGAAATACAAATCCACCCTTTGGAGCTTTAAATTGCAAATGATTGCTAAACAAATTACTTGCTTTTTACATGTGCTTTGTTTACCCTGATTGAAATTCTATTTATTTTCCTGAAAAGGCCTCAGACCCTGCGAGTCAAATGAGACGAAATGTACATTCCCAATGGGCAGATGTCTAGATCAAACCTGCTGGAGTGCTTCCTACAAAATTCATCAACCAAAATGCATCAGTATTAGTGTGTTTCCTCCCTCCAATGCCTGCATTGGCCGTTATATTCTCAATATGCAAATCACATCTTGTGGTCACACATACCAGCGATGTCTTGGAGATTTTTATGTCCTTTTTAACCCATGGTGTGCAGGTGAGAACTCTAGGGATATTGAGATGGTTTAAAGAAAAATGCTAATGATTAATAAAACATGTTGAAATTATTAATTACTTAGCTGGTAAGTAAGGGATGAAGTCACAGAAATCATAGGAAATAGGGATCATAGTTTTTTTTTGTTTGTTTTGTTTCTTTTTCCTGTATATTCAAGGCTGTCTCAATCTGGTGTTTTGATTTGGTTTCTTAGTGGTAGTACTGATGTGATGTAATTTTATTTTCTCCACTTTTAAAATAGCTTGCCAGGAAAAGAGGCTATATGCACAAACTGAAACAAAGGAGATTGTGTTTGAACATCAGGAAAAACCTTTGTTATTATGCAGGTGAATGAAGTATTGGCACAGGTTGTTCACAGAGGTTATGGAGTTTCCCTCCTTTTATATATTGAAAAGCCACCTAGATACGGGCCTGGGCAACCAGCTCTGTGTGACCCTGCTTAAACAGGGGAGTTGGATCAGATGACCTCCAGAGGTCTCTTCCAACCCCATTCATTCTGTGATTCTGTGATATCACCATGACAATACAAACATGAAGTTCAGTAAATCTGATTTGAGAGGCAGCCAAATGTGAAGTCTTTAAGACTTTGCCAAAATCATTAGATGGCAAATATTTACATTGTCCATTGATTTGATTAGAATTAAATACTGAACTCTAAATGCAGTGTTTGACTCCTAGAATTGTTTAGGGTGAAGATAAATTGCAAGCTCTGTAATTCAGGTGTATCATAGCAGAGTGCGGCTTAATAAAGGCAAAACCAAGCAGTAAACAGAAATGAATTAAACATGCTTAAAAGCATATGTTTAAAATAGATAGGAAAACAAAGAGGGATCAAGTGAAATAGATAAAAGATATAGAAGTGCTAGAAATGAACATCTTGTCTGATAGCTCTTGCATCTTTTCCAGATGACCCTGTGTATATGGATAATCAGGCTCAAAGAGAAGAATATGTTCTGAATGAGCATGGCATACTGTATGAAGGAGTTCACAAACATATTACCTCTAGACCTTGGCACTTTGGACAGGTATATTTTGAATATTTGTTCAGAAGAAGTTGTCATCCATATAAGTACTAATGAAGAGTCATCCATATTTTGCAGAAATGCATCTTATGTAATGGAGTACAAAAGGGTTTTAGGTCTAGTCCAGAGCATGCATGCAATGAAAGAAATGTTTAAGAATGTCTCTGTAGCTCAAATAACTGCGAGGAAGTTTGCTTTAATATAGAATCACGGAAACATCAGAATGTTCTTGGAAAAAGAAAATTGTGCTTCTGAAGTTAAAATGATTCCATTAGTTAGACACAAGCAAGTATAACATGCTTTTTAAAAGAGACTATCCTTGATCTTCTTTCAATCAGACAGACAACATCATGCAGACTACTAGAAGCTAGACTTGATTTTAAAGAAATGATATGGGAAGGGAGAAGGAAGCTCATACACATGAGAAAGACTGCAGTATTGACAAGAAAAGTGCTTTTTCAATGTTAGAATACCATGATGTCTGTGTTAACTTCTCTTTGATCAGTTTGAAGATGGAATTCTGGATATCTGCTTGAAGATTCTAGACATGGGTGCAAGTTACCATCACGGCTCTGATCGAGACCATTGTTGGCGCAATGATCCTGTGCATGTCAGCATGGTGGTAAACCACATGGTAAGAACTAACAGTGCATGACCTTTGAATAGATTGGGTCACACTTCATTTTTTTATAGAAGGATAAATTGCACTGTAATGAAACCGTAGTAGGGAAAATCTTTTTTGTGCTCAGATTCACAGGAAAAAGTAACTTGTAGCATTTATCTTTGATATTTTTGTGAGATGCTTAGGATATGAAGACATGGTCAGGTATTTGGAAAAGTTGTTTTTCTTTTCTCTCACTAGATAAGCAGCCATACCACTAACAGCATCATGAAGATTCCAGAAAACAATGATTACCTGAAAGGAACAAAACCATTTTCCTGGAATGGAAGTGTCCCCATTCTTCAGCAGTGGTATAATGGCAGATGCAGACCAGTCAGATATGGGTACTGTGGGTCTCTTGCTTCAGTAATGTGCACAGGTATAATATTTCAGTCTTTCCTTACCTAGCTATCCAAATGAAAGACAGAAAACCAGAATTAGAAAACTCTGACCCTAAGTACTACTGTAAGCATATACCTCATAAGCATTTTACTAGAAAAGAAATGGAGTATTTTATCTTGTTTTGATATGGTACGGCTGCCTACACAGTGTTTATTATCAGCCTGTTGCTTTCCTATAAACTGTGATGAACAAGAAAAGTGATACTGTCTTTCTTGACCCTTACTTATGCAATGTAGCTCTCAGTATTGCAGTTTTTATTAAAATATGGAGCAAACAACCTCACAGAAGTAAAAATTTATCCTTTGGGTGAGGTTTAAAGGAAGAGTAAAAGCACCAACTTATGAAGAGGAATAAGACTTTTACCACCATCTCCTCCAAAAAACAAAAGCAGCAAGCTACTATCTTATTTTGCTACAAAGGAGGAGATAATAGTGAACTAAATGATATGGAGAAGGGGGGAAGAGTTACAATGTTATACCATTTACTTCCTGAAGCTGCTTCTACATTGATGAAAATTAGGTTGACACTATACATACAAATCTAGAAACACTATACTATACTAATAAATAGTATGGACATTTCTGACTAGTGTTTTATTAATGCAGGGTCAGGAACATTATTTTTGTATTTACAACAGGTGTGTGTATTGTTTGTTTGTTTATTTATTTAGTTATTTATTTTTATGCTGGAATAATATGAAGTCATTCCTTTCTATTAGGCTCTTTTCAAGTTACTTTTCAGTAAAAAGAAATTTTGCAGACAGAATTATGACAACCCAAATGTTATCTCCTATGCATTTTGTTTATATGATGGCGAAGTAGAATGCAGGAGAATAATTTACAGAATAAGTAAAAGGCTTGTTTGATTAATTACTGTTTAAAATGACTCCTGATTTTTTTTTTTTCCCTTACAGTGATGAGATGTTTGGGAATTCCAAGTCGTGTTGTCACAAATTTCTGTTTTCCATGCTCAAATGAGAATCCCCTTGGTATTAATGAGATTTTTGACTGTACTGGAAAAAACCTCTGTGGAAAAGACAAGCTATGGTAAGTAAGAAATAAACAATAATATATTTTGGTTTTGTCAAAAGCAAGATGATAGGAAGACTAGTGTAAATCTAGCAAGTAAGTATTTTGGTATTACATAGCTGTTCATTTTCCTATTAGTCCATTTCAAAAGCATACAGTCACTGAGGAGGCAGTCTGTTCAATCTACCCTTAAAAACAATAACAAGAAGAAAAAGCACACTTTTGAGAATTGATACTAGCTGCTTATCCTTCTCAGTTGAAGCAATAGGCCATCCGTCTCAGTAGATGCAAAACTATTAAGTAAAGACAAAATTCAAAGAAAAATTTATGATAGATTAAAATTATTATCCTTAGTCATAATCACTAGGTTGATAATTATGTTGTCTTCCTGCGGTTCCTTACTATGAATCACTTCATTCTCGTCAACCTTTCAACTCATGTTCATATAACTGACATTATAGCTCATCAAAGTACAAGTTGTTGTTTTTACCCTTGGCCTGTATGTTCATAGTTTAACTGCACCAGAATTTGCTTGTGTCCAAGCCTAATCCGTGAGAGCTTTCAAATATTTTTTTGATCTTTCCCATATGAAAAATATAAGGTCAAACTGAAATGCTAAGGGAAAGAAGATGCTATTTTGGCATTTAAGTCTTGAGGGTTTCTTCTTTGTTAGTCTGTTAAAAAGACTAGGGCAGATTTTTTTGTTTGTTTGTTTTGTTTGTTTGTTTTCTCTAAAGAACTGGGCAGAAAATGATAGGAAAAATAGACTATTTAACCAAAAGAACTGTGCTGGCATATTATCAACTGAAACAACAACAACAAATAAGCAAAAAGAAAATGGCTTATAAAAGGAACATTTTGCAAGCAGGTTTGCAGGGATTCAGGAACAGATTTTCAGTCTTAGGGATAGAGAGCAAAGCAAACAACTCCTGTCTTGAAACATCATTAACAATGCTAAGACAGAACTATTCAGTTGCTTAAAGGTTCTCTATGATTTTCTTTTCCTCCGTAAAAAGGGATTGAACATATTGACCCAAGTGATGTTTTTAATCCTATATTTCTCCTTCCTACAGGCGATACCACTGCTGGAATGAGTCTTGGATGGCTCGCAGAGATCTAAATCAGTGCTGTGGTGATTGGCAGTGCCTGGATCCAACACCTTTGGAAACTGGCAGAGGTAACTAAAAATGTTTCCTATGATTGTCATCGTTTGCATCAGCTTATATTTTTGTTTCTATACTACTCAGGTTACATCCTGTTATAACATTTTGGTTTTCACCTGGCTTAGGTTCATCTTGCAGTGGTCCTACATGGGTTCGAAGCATCAGAGAAGGGGAACTGGACTTGGACTTTGATGGTCATCATATGTTTTCTCGGCTAAATTCGAACTATGTTGGCTGGCTTTCCCAAAACAATGCCAAAAAAACAAAAGTTTTCTGTGACACTTGGCCATGTGGACAACATCTAAGCACTAAGAGTGTTGGCAGCGAGCAACTGGAAGATATCACTGGAAGTTACAAATATGAGCTAGGTATGATGAAAAGTCATTAAATGGGTCAGAGGCAATTTAAAATGTTAATTGTACAAAATTTTCAAAGTAACTTGTCCTGTGTAAAAATGAGTAAGACTATTTAAAGGTTGCTTTCTCTCCTTTCTCTCTCTCTCTCTCTCTCTCTTTCTTTCTTTCTTTTTTTACTTCTTTTTTTTTTTTTTTTCCATTTTGAGAAAGAGGGGAAAATGCCTTTCTGTTAAAATACGATCTATGCATATTTAGATGAATCAAAGAAAACAACAGCAACTGCTTTTATTTAGTACCACTGTTTTTATGTACATGCATTGGTCTCACCTATATACTAGTTTCAAATATTAGCAGACTTTAGCTAATCTAAAAAAATAGATTCTTTTAAACCCAGGATTAAATTCTTATTTATTGACTCTTGCACTAACTCTATCAGGAAATATGCTCACATACTAATTTCATGTATTATTAGGACTTCCTGTTGTTATCACTTTTGGTTTACTGATTTTCATTTCCCAGGTATGTAAGGAAGAGTTCAATCAGCAAAATTGCCTAAAAAAATGTAGAGTAGATTAGAGCTGATTGTAAAAATGCAAATTTTGTTTTCTGATAATAAACAAAAAAAAAAATTATTTGAATGTTGTATCTCACCTTTTGTGAGGAAAAAAATTGAAACCTCTTGTGATTTTATTTTCTGCTGGATTTGTTCAATACCAAGCCACCACATTATGTTTCAGAAAGGAGTAGGAGGAAATTTAATTATCTTTATTATTTAGGTAGATATTCCAGACTTCCATAAGACTCATTATCGTGTATCTCTTTTTCACAGGTTCTGTGAAAAGCAAAGAAGCCTATTACCGGGCTTACAGAAGAATTCACCCAGGGTACTGCAATGCTTCCAACTGTCATATAGATAGGGAGTTATCATCTCTGAAAAACCCATTTTTGAGTGACAGCGGTATTAACATGAGGCTAAAGATGGCTAACTGTCCAATGTATGGTGAAGATGTCCAACTGCACTGGCTGCTTGAAAATTTGCGTAGTGAACCCAAAACCCTGAAGTTTAATTTGTGTGCACAAATAATAACATACAATGGTTGCCCAATGGATCAATTTTGGAAAGACAGCGTGACTGTTGCATTGGGTCCGAGAGAAGGTAAGAAGGTGGATTTGTCTAACACTCTTCTGACTACAGTTCTTTTCAGGAGACAGATAGGAGACAGGAGACTGACAATCTTCTATAGGATTAGTGGAGACTTAATACTCGTGGAAAGTGAAATTAGTACAGTGTTAAATATTGATAGCTGAATTGCCTTCAAGGCAATTGCCCTGAAAAATCAGCACAATATGTACTCTATGTGTAATCTATGTGTAATCTATCATGTGTACATGTATAGTAACAGGTTAACTGTAGTCTTTGCTTAGTTTCTCAAGGTTTAGAGATTTTGGTGATCATATAAAACTTCTTTCTGTTAAAAGTTCAAGTCTGGATACTATATTCAATACAAAAATAAAGTTGCAGATGCTTATCATAAAGACAATTCATTCCCTTTAGCCAGAAGATATTAGACAGTATAAAATACCAATTTTAAGCACTGAAGTGATTATTTCCAGATACAGCACAATATGCCCAGAAGTGCAAAGGTGTGTCACAGAATAAGCACTTGTTTTAATAGTTATATCTTTTCGTGAAAGAAAAAAGATCACTTTACTTAAGTCATATCTATAAGAAGAAAATTAGTTCCTGATATTTACATTCTGTTTTACCAAGCTTTAATTTGCCTACATTCAAATTATTGCTTTAAGAATTACATTGTAATTAAGTTTCAGAATTTAAGTAAATAAATAAATTTAAACTTCCCTGTAAACACACTAGTATAGTTAGAGTAATTAGAAAGTATGCAGCTGGATGTTAAAGGTAGCAATGTATTATCCTAAGCCAGGAAAGTTCAAGTCTGGTTTCAGAGATGCTGTGATAGCTTTAATATTTAATTAAACCATTTTAATTGCCAGTTAAACTTCAGGAGAAAGGGAAGTAGAATATTAGCCAAAGATAATTAAACAAGTAAATAATAACTTAAATACATTTGTTTTACAGTGAAAAAAATCCCACTGTGTATATCATATAGTCAATATGGACCTTATCTCTGTGATCACAACATTATGAAAGTAGTTGCTGTCTCAGATCCAGAGTGTGGAGAAGTTCTGATGGTTAGCAGGGATATTGTGATCAACAGGCCACCTGTTATTGTTAAGGTAAAGAACTTCAACTATGTACTTTGTGTTCTAAGGAACAGTCCTATTGTCCACTATATAGGTATATTGTCCACTATATAGGTATAATACAGAAAAATGTGTAACTACTTTTTTTGCTTTTTAGAAAGATCAGTGTGATTATAAGTGTATAAAAAATTACTTAGCGTGACGCCTAAAGATCATAGAATTAAAACAAAAAGAAACATGTATATAAGTATTATATTTTTCTTCTGTTTATTTAATTTAATGCTAATTTTGTGAGGTTAAAGAAAATAAGTGTTTGATATTTTAAATATTTATTTATTTATTTATTGCTAGCTATTGAGCCAACCCAGGCTGAAAGTACCATGTACAGCAGAGATCTCCTTCTGCAATCCTCTCCAGGAAGATATGAAGAACTGCATAATGACTTTAGAAGGCTGTGGTTTATTCAAAGAGCCAATGACCATTGAGTAAGATCATCAATTATTTAAATGGGGATAATATTGGGGGTTGATTAAGGTCTGCTAGGTCAGAGCAGGTTTTGAGGAAGATGATAGTTCTGATACTTCTGGTGTTTGGGATCTGAACAAGATTTTATGCCCCTTAATTCTTGGAGACTCCATTACAAGCCTCATTCTTCTTGAAACTGATAGAGTTGGCAAGATATGCTGTTGCTTCATTTTTCTTAAGTCTAATCTGTGTGTGTTACAAAGTTCTATTTGAAGGGGAATGCACAAGAAATTTTAGCTGTGTCCCCCAACCCTTATAATCCTATTGAGTTTATAAATATTTCCTCTAAATATTCATGAACTTGCATCACATATGTAAACAATTAGAAAAAGACAGTGAGAAATAGCAGTATGCATTCTACGCTCACAAGTTAATCACAGGAAACTGGAAATTTCCATGATGCTATAACATTCTAGGAAAAGGAGCTTTTCATTAATATGCATTGCTGTTCTTCATGACAAGGACAGCTGACAGAGGTATGAGTAGTTTTGAAGGGAAGCAATTAGGAATTGTTCTCACTGAATGATAATGAACTTGATACTACAGAGCTCCTTGATCCAATTTAGATGACTGGAAATGGGAAGCATCCTGTATATCTTTGAGGCAGAAGGGTACCATGTTTTTGAAGAATTTAAGTAACTTACTTATTCCCATGCAGTATCATGAATGGGGTTCCGGTTCCAGTTCCAGAACTAACTGTGGGAGTTTTCCACAGAAATAACAAATCTTTTGAGACAGAGTGAAATGGTTACCACATTATTCACAACACAGGATGATTTGGGGGGAGCAGGGCAAGTAACAAAGTGATCATAGCAGACTGTCTCTGAAAACATATCATAGCAATCAAAACTTGTAATGTGACGTCATCTTCTAGCATTTCATGTCTTTGAGCTACCTAAGGCCCTAATTCTCTCCCTCCTCTTGGTGCAGTTTGGGAACACTGGCTTCCAATCAGCAGGCACGGACTATTGTAGAGTTCACACCATACAGATTGGGCAGCCACCGGCTCCTAGCCAACTTCGGATGCCACAAGTTTGCCTACTGCAAAGGATGTGCCAAGGCTGAAGTGTGTAATCCCGTGGGGCAGAACGGCTCCCTGCCCGTGGGGCAGAATGGCTCCCTGCCCATGAGCCAGAACGGGTCGCTGCCAGTCTGTGAGAATGGATCCCTGCCCGTGAACAGCTCTGGGCCGGTCCCTGCAGGGGACCCTGGGCTCAACTCCATGTGTGAATACATATGCATCCCTGTGTGCAACCCGAACTGCAACCCAGGGGGCCCACCTGTGTATGACTTTGTGTACCTTCCTGCGGGCCATCCCTTATGCAATACCATCTGCAACCAAGGCTTCAACCCAAACATCAATCCTGGTTTCGACCCGGGGTGTGATCCTGGCTTCCGAGTTATATGCGAGACCATGCCTCCCGCTACGTGTGCCCCGATGCCTCCGCCCATGTACGGCTCTATGCCGGTTGCATCGTCCAACCCCGTGGGCCCCCCTATGCCACATGTGGTGTTTGAGACAGGGCCCAGTCCTGCACACCAGCCTGGAGGTGGAGGGGGGGCGATGTCCTATTCTGTCTCTGTCCCAGCAAATAATGCGGTGAGTGCCCTGCTGACCCACTTCATGGCTGGCCCCAGTCCCACTGCAGCAGCCCAGGCGGTTCCTACCCATCTGCCAACCCACCCTGTGTGCTCTCCAGTTGCCAACACTGTCGGCAGTCCCATGCCACCGCCTGCAGCCATTTCAGTGCCTGCTGCCTCCCTCTCCCATGTTGTCTGTGGCTCCGTGCCCTCTCCCACAGCCCAGCCTCCCTGTGGCTCCATGGCCACCCTTCCGACCCAGCCCCTGAGTGCCCCAGTAGCCCATGCTGTATGTTCGCCAGCTCCCTGCCCTGAAGCTTCTCCGGTGTCCCGCTCTGCACGTAGCTCTACCCCTGCAGGGCTGCACCTTGCAGGCTCCCCAGCCCCCCGCCCTGTGGGACCCCCAGCAGCTCACTCGCTGTGCTCCCCTGCCCCCCGTCCCGTGGGACCCCCAGCAGCGCACTCACTGTTCTCCCCTGCCTCCATCTCGGTGGGAGCTACAGGGGTCCGCTCTGCAAGCTCACCCACCCCTTGTCCCGAGGATTCGTCAGCCACCTGCTTTGCATCTCCCCCAACACCCCGGCCTCTGGCAGCTGCCACAGCCCGCTCCCTCTGCAACCCTTCCTCTCGCTCGGTCTCCCGGGCTGTCTGTACCCCAGGGTCTCGCTCTGTCTGTGGCCCTCAGTGGGGGCCTTCCTGCACTACCACCACCACCTCACGCTCAGGCTCCCACTCCACATACACTCCAACCTTCCGCTCAGCATGGAACCTCACAGGGCGCTCGAGCTATATCCCCTTCTCCCGCACCTCCTACAACACGCTCACAGGACCTCCCTATAGCTCCTTGTCCCGCTCCTACAACACTTTGTCCCGCTCAGCCTACACCACCCTGCCCCGCTCTACCTCTCCCTCTGCTTATGCTACCCTGCCTCGCTCTGGCTCACGCCCCACCGGCAGTGCCCTGACCCGCTCTGGGGCCCGCACCCCCTGGAGTCCCAGCAGGGGTACTCTCTCCTATTTCAAGCGCAAATACCTGTAATTGAGAGCAACCCACTGGCGAAGAGCCAAAGCAAGTGAATTAAAGTCTGTACGCAGATGCTTTGAAAAAAGGTTAGAAATAGGGTGATGGAGAGCAACCTGCGTAGTTCTGAATATTTGTCCAGGCGTTTGAGATGTGTTGGAAAGCAGGCTGCTAGCCAACCCCTGAGAAGTGCATTTGATGTAATGTTCATGTGTCTTGAGATACAGTCCAGTGGAAGTGACAAATGAATGTGCTCCCTCTGGAGCCGTAGTGACAACAGCTGCACAGTGCAAGTAATCGGACTAGATTGCTCAGTCAAGCCCTTTTATAAACGATCTGCTTTCATTCTCTTCCCTCTTGATTTCTTGCAATGTGTATTTCTCAAATCCCCCTGGGCTACATGGCTCATTGCAAATCTCTCTCCCCATGTGAGATGTGCTGTTACTGGTGTTCTGTGGCCACAGAGGTGGTAGAAAGACCCTCATGACATCTCCCCAAACACACCTTGGCCCTTGAGCTCTGATCTCTTTGTGGCTAAGGTCAGTTCTGCATGCACTTGTATTTCCTTAGTTATAAGGTAATGAAAACTGTGGTGGTCATGAAGTAACTAAATCATTACAAAACAACTTAAGTGTTCAGGAAAAAAAAAAAAAAAAAAAAAAAGGAAAAAGGAAAAGTTAGTATGGTAAATTTGGTATTACTACTCTGGATTTATTACCAGTCCAATATCAGGAAGAAAGGACAGAGTGGAAAGGCTGAAAAACTTGATGAAGATTTAATACCAATTAAACAACATCGGCTTTCATAGCCAATGGTTTTCTGTAAAGCGTTTCACAAAGTTTTCCTCTTATATATTATTTGCATTTAAGTTTACAGTAAAAGCTCATGTTCAGAACCTGTGCTTTTGTGATTCAATATAGCTAGGGTACTTTTGTCACCAGACTTTAAGCAGAGAAGGAAGTGTGATGGTATCATTTCTTTCCAACACCTAGCCCTTCCAAATGAACAATTAAATGAAAGTTAACTGGTACCATTTCAATGCTAACCTTCTCTTCTCCTCCACCTGCCCCCCCCTCCCCCCTTTTTTTTTCTTGGTATCAAATAATACATTGTCATAAAGGAACTGTCCCTAAGTTTTACCTCTCCTTTGTCTGACCCTCACAAGAGCTTTGGATTTGGTGACACACCTCCTATCCCTCTATTGTTTTCCTCTAATGCCGTTATTTTTAGTAGCAAGTGTTAGTGGGGTTTGGTGGTAAAATAATTTTGCTGGTGCTGCAGAATCTTCAATAATGTAGCAATAGTATCTCAGTAGTATCACTGTAGTTCACACCCCTGCGTTTTGTGATGAGATTGAGTAACCTTCTGGGGATTTTGAAAAGGTGAGGTGTCAGATGCTAGTTATGAATATACCAACTGTGCCAATTACATAGTAATTCTGAGTATGGTAGAAGTCTTTGCCTGGATATTGTAGTGCAGTGTTCAATTCCATGGCACAGTTCTATGACTTTTTTTTTAATGCAGTTTCAGTAGTTCCTGTTGGGTATTTGCTGACGATTGCTTTGCTTGACAATAAAAATAGAAATTTAGAAAAATTTAACTGTTTTTTTTTTTTTTTTCTTCTCATAATATTTCTTCAAAATGGGGGAAAATATTCTCCAGATGCACTAGAGTGTGAAATTATTCTTCCACTGCTTCTGTTGTATATCCTCTTTATTTACCTTTGGTTAGAAATCAAGGCTCCAAAATAGGTTGTGAAATCTAGTACAGATTTCCTATTTTACTTGAAATACTCAGTTTGGTATTTAGAGAAAAAAATCAGCCATCTTCTTTGCTCACAGTAAAACGTTCCACTTACACATGCTGCATGATTTTTCCCTTTGCTTTCATGGTCTGTGAAACTTATCGTCCACGTAAGTGCCAAACTGAACAAATTTTTCAGCAACAGAGGAAGAAAGATAAAAGATACCGAAACTTATGACTTTCTTGTTGTTGTTGAAAAGAAGTTTTCATAATAAATTACAACTATATTATTATGAAGTAACATTTCACATTTCTTGTTCCACTTGTGCTTTGACTGCTCTGATTTTTCTCAGTTCTGAGAAGGAGCATGATTCCATATGCCAGAAACTCCAAAGATTTGTTCCCAACCTTTTAATGTCACTGGAGTTATACAGTGTGTATAAATACTGCTCCCCAACCCTTCTTGCTGTACATACCAGATCATTCTCTTTGAAAACTGTAGCAAGTTGTTATAACTAAAACCATAGAAGATAACAGAAGTCCTTTAAAGTTGTGGAGGTTTTATGCTGCTGGGCAGCTGATCTCCACCACAGCCACCATCTCACTACCCCTTCTCAACAGAAAAGGGCGTAGGAAATATTATGGAAAGGGTTCAAGGGTTGAGATAAGGACAGGGAGGACACACCAATTATTGTCAAGGGCAAAACATAGGGAGATAAACATGATTTATTGCCTATCACTAGCAGACTAGAAAAGGGAGAACCTAAAAGCAAACTAAAAACACCTTCCCCCCCAACCACCTTCTCCTACATCCTTCCTCCAAATGACGCAAGGGGACAGGCAATGGGGGCTACATTCAGTCCCTAATGCTTCTGCATCCCTCCTTCATGGTCACTCTCTGCCCCTTCTCCACACAGGGTCCCTCCCATGGGATGCCGTTCTTCCGAAACTGATCATGTGTGGGCTGCCCACAGGCAGCAACTCATCAAGAACTGCTCCAACATGGATCCATGCGACAGGGTCCATCCCCCAGGAGCAAACTGCTCCAGCACGGGTCCCCCATGGGCAGCAGCTCCCCCCAGACTCCCTGCTCCTGCGTGGGCTCCTCTCCACGGGCTGCAGCTTTAGCCCAGGGCCTGCTCCTGCAGTGGTTCTCCGTGGGCTGCAGCCTCCTCCAGGCCACATCCACCTGGTCCACCAGGGGCCTCTCCACAGGCCACAGGGGAACTGCTGCTGTGTGCCTGGAGCACCTCGTGCCTTCCTGCACTGACCTTGGGGTCTGCAGGGCTATTTCTCACCCCTCTCTCCCAGATGCTGTTATACAGCATTTTTTTCCCCTTTCTTAATTCTGCTCTCACAGAGGCATTAACATCATCACTCACTGCCCCAGCTCTGGCCAGCAGTAGGTCCCTTTTGGAACTGGCTTGAGCTGGTGTACTGGGTCTGGCTGGAATGTTAACTTTCCCGGCAGCAGCCCATACAGTGCTGTACTCTGCACTTATAGCTGGAACAGCAGTGTTATCACACCAGTGTTGTGTCTACTGCTGAGCAGTGCTGGCACAGCATCGGGCCTCTCTAACCCTCCTAGGGGGTGGGCAAAAAGTGAGAAGAGAAACATCACCAGGGCAGCTGACCTAAACCAACCAAAGGGATATTCCATACCGTGTGATGTCACACTTAGCAATAAAAGGTGGCAACAGGAAGAAGAGGGGAGGGGTGGGCTCTCGTTGGGAAAACGTCGGTCTTCCTCCTGAACACTGGCTACGTGCATTGAGGCCCTGCTTCAAGAACGTGGTGGTCAATCATCGCTCATTTGTGGGAAGTAGAGAGTAATTTCTTTCCTTTGCACTTCCACGTAGCCTTCATTTGTTTTATTTGTTTGTTTTCCTCTTTTTTTTTTTTTTTTTTTCCTTTTCCTCTCCCTTTTCCCCTTTCCCTTTTTATTTCCCTTTAGTTAAATTGTTTAGTTCATAATAATCTTTCTTTAATTATTATTATTATTTCCCTTTAATTAAATTATCCTTATCTCAACCCATGAGTTGTTCTTTGCTTTACTTCTCCCCCTCCTCATCTAAGGAGGGGGAGTGAGAGAGCGGTTGTGGTGTTTAGCTGTCCAGCACGGTAAAACCACCACAGCTGGCTCTGATCTGACATGGGGCAGCTTGGCTCTGATCACAGAGGCCATCTCTGAAGCCCCCTGGCTACCATGCCCTTGCCATGTGAACCCAATACAAAAGTTTAAAATTATTCTAACACTAACAAAATTATCAAGAGTGTTCTCTTGATATTTACATGCTAGTAATAACAACAGGTAGTTATTGTAATAACTAATATGTAGTCTCCTAGGAAAGTCCATTTTACTGCCACATATCCATCCAGGGAAAGAACAAAATTAAGAAAGAGAGAAAGAGAGAGAGAAAAAAAAAAAAGAAAAAGAAAAAGAAAGAAAGAGAGAGAGAGAGAGAGAGAAAGAAAGAAAGAAAGAAAGAAAAAACTTATCACACAAAAACAACTACAAAAACCACTCAGAACCTGGATGTAAATTACCTCCTTCTTAAAAGTTTGAGTGAAGGGCTCCAATCTATGTTTTATAAGGTATCTCCTATCACAAGAGGCCTGTTTTAAATTTCCACACAATTTGTTGTTGATTTTCTTTGTTTCCTCAAAACTGACTTTTTTTTTTGCTTATTTTGTAAACACATTGGGAAGCCACCACAAACAAGATAACTATCATCAGATGTTGAATGCAGTACTGTACTATTTAAACGTTTGGGGGAACATTTCTAATTTTAAATTCAATTCAGATATGTTTTATTTATGTTTTTGAGCTAAATTTTTTCACTTGTTTCTAAGCCAGTGAAAATGAGAAAGACAATTTCACATGCATTACTATAGCTGCCCTTTCTATGATTTAATATAATAAAGAGGAGTACTAGAATTTATTTTTGTGCAAAAGTAAAACAGCGTTATATTTCTTTCAAAGATGAGAAATAATCTAGTAGGCAATAATTTTTAGTTTTCATCACTAAGAATTCATTAAACTTTCTCAAGTCTTTAGATGAGAAGTTATGAAGATTTAGCTGCAAATTAATAGTTTCAAACTTCAAATGCTTAAGGTTTCTGCTTCCTTTGACATTTGCTAGTTACATAGCATAAAATGCCTGAGTGAAATGTGATTCATTTGTATATATTCCATTACCTGCAAGAACAATATTGAAATTTATAACTCAGTAAACCAACTTCCTACCAAGCATTATTTATAAAGGTAAATTAAATTTGATATATTGTATCTGACACAAAGATTAAATTAGGGAAACACTATATTCATTCTATTTAGTATTAAAAACAAACAAAATAATTCAGATAATAGACAGGTAATAAATGAAGTGTCTAAAAAAATAGATATGAAGCATCCTGACCAGGAAAAAAAAAAGTGAGCATATTCAAAATGCAAAAGAAAGTAAAAATTTTATTTTCTTTTTGCTATGCAGCATTTTTGTGTCATTCATTGTACATTTCCATTATATCTGAAATTTCAAAACTCTATTTTTTCATATTGCATACGGAAAAGACTTTCTTAAGGGAAAGTCTTCAAATACTTAGACTATCCCTTATAGTGAAAGGGTATCCTACTGAAATGTTTTACAGGCATCCCAGTTCTTTTTCTCTTTTGATGTCTAAGATGGGAGGAATTTCTTCCACACCTTTGTGTGTTCTTCCTGAATGATCTTAAAGCTTTTAAAATCTTCATTTCTGAATGGCAAGGGATGTTATGTAATAATCACACATGTATACTCATTTGTATGGTATAATTATCTGGCTCTGTGACTAACATCAGAATAAGTTTTGTGCAGGAGACCAATTCAAGACTTAAAACAAAGTGTTCCCAGCCCAAGGATCAAATACGGTGTACGTGTATGACTGAGCCTTTGTTACTATTCTGTTGCTAGTTTATAGTAATAATTTGGTCTGCTACCACATTCATTTGGATTTTTAATCTACTTCTTTGAGTTACACTAACTGGCCACACCTGTCCAACTTTTCGGATAGCCATAATTTTTTCCCTGCTATGTTCTCCTGAGAAGAGTTGAATTTGATGGCACTCAGTAGACTGCATTAGCTATTTGAGCTATTTGAATGTGTACTTTTACATATGTTCACTTTCATCGTATATCTAAACTGCGTGTGTGTTTTCTCCATAAGATATATGTTTAGTACAGGCTATCTATTAGTGAATCTCTCTATTATTGAATAAAAAACATTCATGGATAAATATGAATCAATTACAAAAAATAATAAAATACAATAAAATAAAATATAGAAAAAGAGGAGAAATCTGAAAAGACGGGAAAACTTTTACTATACAAAGAATTGTTATCACTATGCACCATTTCTTTTTAGCAAATTTTTCTGTGATTCTGGTGTTCTCTGATTACTTATTTTGCATATCAAATGCTCAAATTTTATTAAAGCTATAACAGAATTTAATGTTAGCTTTAGACTAATTAGAAATAGAGGAATGTTGATGTTTGAGATAAATATTACCAGGAATCCTTGCTGCTCCAATATATTTAACTATGTCAGCGAACCTAATCCATCATCTGCAGCAGTCTTTGGGTCTAAAGATCAGATGGGATATTAATTCTGACCTACAAATATTTCTGTTCCAGCTAAATATTGCCTCTTTATTTTATTTTTTTTTTCTTATCTTCCATTTTTTCCGTATGTTCTAATTTCAGTTTGGCCTTTTTTAGCTTTCTTCCCTTTTCCATGCAGGTAAAACAATTAGAATTGCTAGAAGCTGCTCAG